TGTTCTCTGTAATTTTATTCTTTCAAAGTTGGTTAAGGATTGCACTGCTGTTATTGTAGGGGTTTTTTTTACTGGTCTGCACATTTCATAACTTTATTTCTCTCTTATGCTTAAATTTAATTCTTGAAAATAAACTGTCTCTGACACCTGTCTCTGACTTGTTACTGACAACCTAAGAGTGAAGACTGAGTTTTCTTCCACAATATTGTGCTTTGTCATTCACTACTTAAAATGGTACAATCAACTAATATTAGCTTCTACTCATCTTAGCAGTGCCAGTTTTTTTTTTTTTAAATAGCTAAACACATAACTTGAGACACTGTGCAGATGCAGGTTGCTCATTTACAAAGGGTATTTTTATCTGTAAATTCATACAAAAATAAAAGTTCCAAGTCTGATACTAATAGCAACGATGGAGTCAAAAGTTAGTGAGTCACATACATAATTGTGATGAGTAAACATAAATGCCAAAATAATTAGAAAAATTAATTCCCGTTCCTAATAAAAAAGAAAAAAACCCTTAGTCATATATGTTAAAATTAAGTAAATACATTTTTAGTGGTGTGAAAAACAATTAACTAAAACAGAGTAGATAATGGCAGTAACATAGAATGTGTCTGGTAGAGAAATTAAGCAGATTTATTTATCTCTACAAAAGATAGCGTACGAAGTATCAAACGTGTGTGTCTGATACCTGTGGAAATATTTTGCAGTATTATCTCCTGATTGTTCTAAATTGACATATAAACTCAAAATGTAGCTTTAATTGCAATTTCTATATATATACACCTCTACCCCGATATAACGCGACCTGATATAACACAAATTCAGATATAACGCGGTAAAGCAGTGCTCCGGGGGGGCGGGGCTGCACACTCCGGTGGATCAAAGCAAGTTCGATATAACGCGGTTTCACCTATAATGCGGTAAGATTTTTTGGCTCCCAAAGACAGCATTATATCGAGGTAGAGGTGTATTTTCTTTCTTTATATAGGAATTAGATACACGGCTCCTGTCAGCTAATTCCTATCTTATCTGCAAAATTCCTAGAGTTTTCAGGTGCCTACGTAGCCCCTGGAATCGGAGGTGAAAGTGGGTCGGTGCGGGCCAGTACGGCGTACCGGTAAGAACCGTCTGTTGGTACCGGCCCGTACATGGCCAACGTCAATGCAGTGCCAGGGCTTTTATCATCGCTTCCCCTTTTGCTTGCCCCCATCGGCGGTCCCGCTGGGAGAGTCCAGTAGCTGCCAAACCCTACAGGCTGGGCCGCCGATGTGGGGAAGCGAAAGGGGCTGCTCGCCCGTCGGGGGGGGGGGCAGCAATTTAAAAGGGCTTGGGGCTCCCAGCTTTGTGGCAATGGCAGCCATGAAGGGCTGGCTGCGGGAGTCTGGTCCCCAGCCCCACCCCTTGCACCCGAGGCCCTGCCCCTTCAGTGGGGCCAGAGCCACCCCCCAACTTACCCAGGAGGGACCGGTAAGTCCCTCTACTTACTTTCACCCCTGCCTGGAATCACGGTTAAAGTTGTCCCCAGGCCCTCTCCCCCCAAAAAATCTGAAATGGAGCCTTGATGAGCCAGGAGTGGCCAGAGGGCTGTGGGAGGGCCATGGGCTCTGGCAAGATGCAGCTCCTGTGTGACAGCACAAAGCCCTCAAATTAATCTCCTATCTGCTCATCTTGGAGTCACAGCTCTCCCAAGCTGCTCCAGCTAATTCCTCCAGCATTTGGTCTAGCTACATCTCACACCAGGAATACAGCTGGGGCCGGTGCATACAAATAATTTCCCAGTGACTATTGACAGCCCCATGGGGGAGGGTTAAGGTTGCACTGGCCTGTACCTCAACTCTGTATTTCTTGGTTTTCAGAAGTTTGAGTTTTGATGAACTTACACCAGGTGGGGGAGATAAAATATTTTATGGGACCAACTCCTGTTGTTGGTCGAGACGAGCTTTGGAGCTGCACTGAGCTCTTCTTTAGGTCTGTGTTGCTGGGAAGCTCGTCTCTGTCCCCAACAGAAGTTGATCCAATAAAAGATCTCACATCATCCCCCTTGTCTCTGTAATAGACCGGGGCCAACATGGCTGCAACAGCACAGCCAATCATTTCTGATGAACTTGAGGTTTTGGAAGGTCATCATCTTCAGTGGGAAACCGGAACTTCCTTTTTGAAATCACTACTGGATTCAGAGTCAGTTGTTCAGGTGTCCTAGTTACCTGAATCCAGTCATGATTTCAAAGAGAATCTTCTTCCTGCTTTTGCTGAATCTAATAAACTAAATAGAAACCCCTCCCCCCACCCAACAACAACACCAAAGTCCCTTTTGTTAACATAATAAAGTTCCAGTTTCCCACACATTTGCGGTGCAGCAGGACTGGGGCTGTTTCTTTAAGAGAAGACTCGAACCTCCCCACGTGACAGGGTTTGGAATGAGGCAATTGACAGTGTCACTTTCACTTTCCCCAGGCGAACGCTGCGAGCCGAGCGCAGGTTTATCAATTCGGAACAAAACCACGTTGCTTTTAACACCGTTCTACGGAAAAGCCACGAGACAAAACTGCAGCTCTTGGATCGCCAGAATTAGCTGAGCAACAATCCGTGAAAACCGGGAACAGTCAATGAACGTGTAACTGTCCCAGCCAGAGGGATGAAGTCTGACCACACCCGGCAGATATTAAACTTCTCAGAAGACCCAATCAGGTGGGTGAATTTTGCTTCAGCAGGACTGTTTATAACGTCTAATACACGGTACTTATTGCTTGGACAGATTATTCAAAAACACAAGGAGTGAATAATCTTGTGATAATTTCTCTCTCTATGGGAACTTGACAGTACAGCTACATTCAAAGTGATGTACCGTCAAATACATTGCAGTTTGTTTTCATAGCAATGTAACATGTGACTTTTACAGCTTGTTGAATTAGTCATTTCTTTGTTTTGCTGAATTTTATTCAAGAACAGTGGGCCCAATACTGTTCTTGGGGGAGATTTGTAACTTCCTGTATTTTGAATACAGGAAACTTTCTGCACCAAACCCAGCCGCCATCAGTCTAGTTTCCTGCCTGTGCTGTCATTGCAGTTTTCTGCCTCTTGATTGGGGGGCGGGGTGAATCCTTTTGTTCTTGTAAAAAATAAAATTATGCTCAGAATCAATTGAAACAGAAAACAGCCTCCTTTTCTCCTTCTGACCTCAGTGGGAATTAAGCATGTGCCTAAAGTTGATCCTGTGTTCAAGAGTGTCACTGAGTAGGGACTTCAGGATATATTAAAAAAGGGAAATTTGTATGTTGTGTAACAGATTAGCTCCTCCTGTGTGAAAAGCCATTCAAGGGGAAATATCATGAAGAAACCTATAGGAGTACAGTTATTTAAAAATGGCAGTATTGTTGTGAAATTATGTTTTTGTTTTTCTTTAAAACATTTTGCTTATTTTTAAATTTTTAATCATGTATTATTGCACAAAACATTAGATTTTAGTTTTCCTTTTTTTTAGTTTTCATTTTTTCTCCCTTTTCTCCTTTGAGACAGGATAAGGGATGGGTGAATAAAATGTCTTTATTCCATTTGTTTAGGGTTTCTCATTCTGAATCAATCTGAAATATTTTTTTTCATTTAGCATCATTCTGTTGAAAAATTAGAAACATTAAAATAATAGGAAAAATCAGTTTTTAAAAAGAATTCTAAAAGCCATATTCTATTGAAAAATCAGTTTTGTTTAAGTATTTTTGACCAGGTTCTGTATTGTCAACACTCATAGTTATTTGTGATTTTTATGTTAAGTCTCACAGTATTTAGTAATTTTCTGAAAGCCCTAATGTTCTAGTTTTGAGTTTGTGAGAATATTTGATTTCATTTAAAGTAAAAAAAATAAATGTCTAGCTTTTATAGTTGCAGGGGAAAGTTTAAGATTGAGTGTACCCTCAAGGCTCAGAAACCAAATGGCAAAAAATAAGAACTCAAAATGTATATTTAAAATATTGATTTTAAGTCAATCACATACCATTTTTTGACCCATTTTGTGATTATTATTTTTAATGTGTGGGGCGGGGGAGGATTTTTTGTCTTGATTTTCATAAAGCAACAAATATTATAAAGCACAAAGAAAATAACATCCCACAAAAATGTACAGCTTGTATATGTTCCCATAATTAAGCAATTATGCAGTTTTACAGCTAATCAAAGCTAGAAGACCAGACAATCATAGGCACGGGAAGTAGGGCTGTGTGGGGGGTGCAGTGTCCCCAAGTTTTATGCGGGGCTCCGCTCCTGGTCCCAGGGCTCCAATCCTGGCCCCGCACGTGGGGATCCACTCCTGCCCGCCACTAGCTGTGGCCCCAGCCTCAATCCCTTTACCCCTGTCTGTGCCCCACCCTTCTGGAGATACAGCCCTGCTCCCAGCCCCAGCTCTGAGGGGAGGGCGTGTGGGGTGTGAACAGCGGTAAAGGGGGCACGAGGTAAAAATTTGGGGGGCACTTTCACTGGCTTTCAGCACCTCCACTGTGTAAAAACTGTTCAAGGGCCACTGCAGACAACACAAGACCAGACAATACCACACACACCTAACACATTAGCGTGGGGGTTACACTGACTTTTGAATACTGGGTTTGGCAGTGCTGCTGCTCTGTTTTTGAAAGGCACAAACAAATTTCAGTTTTCTGCAATAATTCATCCAAATAAACCAATGTATCACACCTATTTATTTAATTCATCAAAGTGCTGTAGTTCTTCAGACCCTTATTGCCAAAGGAAATGTCAGACACTCCGGGTGGATGAAAATTGATCTTTAAAAACTGATTTAAAAAAATTAAATCAGAGGCTTTTCCTTCACTTGGATTTTTTAATTTAAATTAAATACTGGTTTATCTTTCAAATTAAAATTATGACAACTGATGCGAAGGCGCATATATATATAAAAACATTCAAGCAGTATATGTTTGCTTCAAAAGTTTTAAAGAAAATCAGTGAAGTGATGGCAGTCACTGGCTAAGCACCTGGAAGCAGAATTTGTTGAAGGGCTCACCCAGCTTTTGACAGCAATAGCCTCTTCTGCAAGTACAGAGAAAATATTTTGTTCATTTCAATGTATCCAACTAGCTGAATTCAATGACTCGTCCATTCAAAGTTGAGAAACCAGTTGGGAGTTGAAAAATCAGGAAAGTTCGTTTTCCACTTTGAACCTATCGTTAAAAACAAGGTGTGAGAGGATGAGATCTACTAGCTCTAAAATCTTGAAGGACACGGTGACCAGAAACAATCCGTTCAATTCACTAACTACAGATAATAGTTCCTTTTTCTAACAAATCAGATTTGAATGCAAAACATGTTTTAGTAAATAATTTTTCTCTTCCCTATCCTATTGTCCAGATCAAGTTACAGTGAAGATGAAAGTTCTTTCGTTCTGTCCTAGCTCTGCAGTGAGCGCCTCTCTGCCTAATTTGATCATTTTCTTCATTACTTATCACATTCACAAGCTGGAATCAGGTAGGAATCCCACTGGTCCTGCTGCTGCTTGTAGGATTTGTTTAATTGTAGTGATTTATAAATCATGCCTATTCCACTCCTTTGTACAAAACTGAAAAAAAAAAAAACCAAAACCAAAGAAAACCCCAAACCCACCCCTACAACAAATTTCAGATTGGCTCAATATCAGTAAATAAGTCTCCACTTCCTCCCCAACCCTTCTGGAGGAGTAATTCTCCACCTGCTGCATATGAGGCAACTCAGTTCCTCTATCTAGGTACTTGTATCATCATAGTATCTGAGTGTGAGGCTGTATGGAATATGGGTGACCATTTATAATAGCATTGATACCAATATTACAAAATCACAATAAATCTTATACAAGATATGCCACGAGAAGTAATTATGCCGCTCTACCCTGCGCTGACTAGGCCTCAACTGGAGTCTTGTGCCCAGTTCTGGGTGCCACATTTCAGAAAAGTTATGGACAAATTGGAGAGAGTCCAGAGAAGAGCAACAAGGATGATTAGGGGTCTGGAAAACATGTCTTATGAGGGAAGATTGAAAGAACTGGGTTTGTTTAGTCTGGAAAAGAGAAGACTGAGAGGGGACATAACAGTTTTCAAATATCTAAAATGTTGTTATAAGGAGGAGGGAGAAAAATTGTTTTCCTTAACCTCTGATAATAGGACAAGAAGCAATGGGCTTAAACTGCAGCAAGGGAGATTTAGGTTGGACATTAGGAAAAACTTCCTAACTGTCAGGGTGGTTTGGAACTGGAATAAATTGCCTAGGGAAGTTGTAGAATCTCCATCATTGTCTAACCTGCTCTTAAAAATCTCCAAACACCTGTGAGGGATGGTCTAGATGGTGCTGGTCCTACCATGAGTGCAGGGTGCTGGACTTGATGACCTCTCAAGGTCCTTTCCAGTTCTATGATTCTATTGTAAGGTATCAGTGGAAAAGGCTTGATTTGCTAAATATGATCAGCTTGTTTATAGGTATGTATCATCTTTGTATGGTGAGATATAAATATGTGTGGCATATTTGTCTCAAACTTCTGCTGTGCATTTGGGTGACGCCCCCAGACAGACCGTGCTGTGCATTTGGGTGACGCCCCCAGACAGACCGGCATCAGCACTATCCAGTCTTCTGTAGAATGAACCATTGAGAGAAGCCCGGGGCTATGAGTCAGCAGGACATTGTAGACAAGTATCCGAGGGGTAGCTGTGTTAATCTGTATTCACAAAAACAACGAGGAGTCCGGTGGCACCTTAAAGACTAACCGATTTATTTGGGAAAAGCTTATGTCCAAAATAAATCTTTAAGGTGCCACTGGTGCCACTGGACTCCTTGTTGTTTTTCAGGACGTGTAGGGCCATGCATAGGCGCTGACTTCTACTGGTGCCGGTGGGTGCTTGACACCCCCCCCTTGCCCCCGCCCCGAGTCCACCCCTGCCCTGCCCCCTCCCAAACCCGCTCCCTCCCTCTCCCATTCCAACTCCTTCCCCAAATCCCCACCCCAGACCTGCCTCTTCCCTGCCTCCTCCCCTGAGCATGTCACGTTCCCAGTCCTCTCACTCCCTCCCAGAGCTTACTACAGGTGTTTGGCAGCGGCAAACACTGGGAGGTAGGTGGAGGAGGAGGTGTTGTGGGGCGGGGAATTTGGCTGCCAATGGGTACTCCAGCCAGCCCCAGATCACCCACGGAGTGGGCGCCTATGGGGACATGCCGATGGACAGGGGACTCCAAGTTCCTTTTCATGCCCATGTGCTGTGAGTTTGTGTTTGGTACAAAGGATGTACACGCCACATGGCAAAGGATATAAAAAGGCAGCTGCATTTTCTCCATTTTGTCTGCAGTCCTGCTTCTCACCTCTGGAGTAACTTCCCTACAAACTGAAGCTTTGAACTAAGGACTGATAGACCCATCCAAGCTTTGGATGTGTTCCAGAGGGACTTTGCAAGCTAGCAAATTCACCAGTGCTGCTAAGAACCTGATATATGGATTCTGAAGTGTGTGTGTCTCTCCCTCTTCTGTATATATGTTGTTGTGTGTGTGTGTGTGTATATATATATATATATATATATAATATATATCTGACTGCTTTGACCATTTAGCAACTCTCTTCTTTTTCGTTCATTTTCTTTTCTAACAAAACCCTTTAGATTTAGATAGTAAAGGATTGGCTAGCAGCATGGTATTTTGGGTAAGATTCAAACTAGTATTGATCTGGTAATGTGTCTGGTCCTTTGGAGAACTAAAGGAACATTTTGTAAAATGAATAGAGTTTTTAAGTAACTTCTCACTGTACTGAACCTATTTGCTGATTGGGAGCCAGAGACTGGAATGCAGTAAAGGGGGCTGTGTGATTTCTTTTCTTGATAACCAGTGTGGGGGATCAGGAGCCCAGTTTGTGACTGGTTGGTGACTCTAACTATAGTGTAAACCACCCGTTTTGGGAGAATCTTTTCTCCTTTTTGCAGCCTTCCCTGACGTTGGCATTTCCACTGTAGGCTGCCCTACACAGCTCAGGTCATGCTCAGCATCCTACTTCACATGCTTGCATCCTCTGTGACCCAATCCTTTCTCAAACACCAAGGCAACCAGGCCTAAAGTTTAAGTGATTTGGGGTCAGTGGGGCCAAGGCAAGTGAGTCCAAGAGTTGAAGACCCTTTACTGAAAATGTCCTGGCAGTGACCCTGTCTCACTAAAAACAGATGGAGGGGGGCAAAGGAGGAACCTCAGCTGATCTCAATGAAAATTGTGTCCTCATACGAGGTGACAGGTGGTGGTCTCCAAAGAAGCTGGCTCCCAAAACATTAGGGTGAAATTCTAGGTGATCTCTGTTGACTTCAATGGAGACAGGATTTCATCTTTTCACCCTTCTCATATTAAACCAATGCGGAGAATCACATCAGAAATATAGTGAAGGCAGGAACAGATCACAGAGCTCAGGTATACAGTGTATATACTCAGGTCACTCTGTTCACGGGGCACTGAAATATCTCTGTGGCATATCAAATTAATATAAGGGGAGTTATCAGTGACACCTATACCTGAGCTGGCCTGTCACTTTTTAATGTAAATCTCCCCCCGCCCCCTTCTGTTGTTTGTTATTGTGCCAAATTTTCAATGTTCAGGCTGGAAATTTGATTGCCAGGTGTCTGCCCCAGGCTGAATTTTTGGAAAGTTTGAACCTATTGAATCAGTCATGAATATATATATTTTTTTCCCTCTGAGCTTCTTCTCTTTTTCTTTTGGTGTATTTCACAGCCCAGTTCAGCGTGATTGGTCCTGGCCACCCTGTCACTGCCATTGTGGGTGAGGCCATTGTGTTACCCTGTCACCTGTCCCCCAGGATGAGTGCTGTGAACATGGAGGTGAGGTGGTTCCGATCTCAGTTCTCTGCAGTTGTGCATCTGTACCTTGATGGACAGGATCAGTATAGAGAGCAGATGCCAGACTATGATGGAAGGACAGAGCTTTTGAAAGATGGCATCACGGATGGGAATGTTTCCTTGCAGATTCTTAATATCAGACGCTCAGATGAAGGACAATACCACTGCTTTGTTAAAGATGATCTTTTTTATGAAGAAGCCATATTGGAACTGAAGGTAGCAGGTCAGCAGCTCTTGTCTGTATTATCTTATTCTGGTCTGCAGGTTTTATTCTTTCCTACTGCAACAACTGTGACTAGCAACTTGTGAATTATTTTAGAGTAACACAGTGTGACTAGATTTCTGCACATGACCACATTCATACATTTTAGAAAATATGCTGAAAACTTTCCTAATGTTTTATTAAAGACATTTTCAGAATGGTCAAGAGATTTCCTTGCCCAAAAGATGTTTTTGGCTGACTTCAAAAGGAGGGAGAGAAAGGAGGGAAAAGACTTCTAGACAAATATGGGCCTGGTTTATACTAGAAAAGTAGGTCAGCTTAACTATGTCTCTCAGGGATTGTGAAAAATACACACCCCATGAGTGACAAAACTAAGCTGACCTAAGTCCCCATGCAGGCAGGGCTGGGTCAACAGAAGAATTTTTCTGTCAACCTAGCTTCTGCCTCTCAAAGAGGTGTATTACCAATGACACCAGGAGAAGTCCTCTGTTGGTGTAAGTAGTGTCTACACTGAAGCACCACAGCAGTGAAGCTGTGCTACTGTAGCCTTTCAAGTGTGGACAGCCCATGGTCTTCCAATTTCTCTGCAGTCATTTTGAGGCGTGGCTAAGGTGGGACTGCCAGGTTTATAGGCCTTCTGATGTGGTCACTACAGGTAGTTAGTTGGGGTACAGTCAAAGTCAGTTGTAGCTTTCTGATTGGCTGAGGCCACATAAAGATGGTGGTTGGTGGGAGGCCATATGTATTT